TTGGTAATTGTTTGGGCCCCTACATTTTAGCGGCTCTGAGACTGTTCCAGAGGTGCCTGTGCTCTGGCCGGCCCCGACATACTGGGCATAGCCATCCACCAGGTCGACACCGCTGGCCTGCTTAAAGGTTCATGGGACTTAGNNGTTACTATACTTATAATTACTTATAACCCCAATTAAGGTACTTATGCCTGCCGAAACGGGCTGTCTATCTTGGGGTTTGTGCCGAGTGCACTGAGATTCCTGGGTGCCAAAATGCTACCCTTTGAGGGTGCTCTCCTGATTGCGTTTGGGCGTTTGCCCAGGTGTCTGCATGACAGTCCCAGCGAGCGTCCGAAACTCCAAGAAAAACGTAATTTGCTTCAGTTAACGACAACGAAAACAAAGATAACAGTGGTAGCCACAACAGCGCCTGCAGAGGTTTGACTCTTCAGAATAATAACGTGCAGAAAACACCAATGTTTGCAGCGTAACCCATCATGACAAGGCTGATAGCACACACAAGAGCAGTACCAGCAAGAAACAGGAAAAGCAAGCGCAGCAATGGCAGTCACACGATGCATGGACCTGCAAAAATGAAGGTCAACCTTGGCTCCAGAGTTTGGGTGAGTGTTCTGTGGTCCCTTTTTGGGTCCTTATTATAATACGGCACCTATTATTTAGGGTACCCCAAAAGGGACTGGCTGCTAGAACAAAGGGAAGCTTGCCTCGGCCATCGGCAAACATGCCATCTGCGGCTCTCCTGTAAAGGCATGGTGGGTCGGTTTGGGGCTACCATCAGCATCTCCGGGTTTAGCAACAAGTCTTGCTGCTATTCCCTGCTAGTTCGCTAGGCTTCGCCTAGCCCCCTTCAGGGCAGGCGTAGACCGTCTGCACAGCATCAAGCCATCTCCCCTGGCTGCTGCACAGCCTCACGCAAGAAGCAGTCACGAAAAAGCTGATTGGTCTCTACGTTCGCCGGAACTGTGAAGCCAGATCGCCAATCCGATAAGCCGCTTGACTCTCTCTGCCGCTTCTCAAATCGCCAGGGAGTTCCCCTAAATCGCTAGCCCAGTCCCCTTCCCCGCGGTCGAACTCCCAGCAGCCAGACTCATTGAACTCAAAGAAACCCCTGACTCGCATGTAGGAGCCGCAATACTAGAGTTAGCCTTCTTGACCCTTTATGGTTCAATCCACCCCCCTTAAACAACATGACGTACTGTACCCCAAAACCCCTCTACCCCGCCCCCAATCCTGCAGCTGAACCCAAGCTCCTTCGATTGCGGCCTGTGGGGGCGTGCTCTGCACGGCCCTCTTTTTTGACCCAAGCTTGGCCGGTTGGATCGTAGGATCCGGACAAAGATGGCCTCGGCGAGAATAGCCGGCGGCAGCAGGATACTGTCAGCGGGCTTACACTCACATGCAGTCAGCACTTAACACGAGCAGCAAATGCCCTGAACTCCGAAGCCCTGAACTTTTACACTCCAGGCCCCTCAATCCTAAGCCTGGGGTCTAAGGCACAATGACAGGCTTTTGAGACGATAAAACTAAGCCTTCTGGTGAGCATTGCGTGGCCTTTTAGGGTCTAGAGTTGAGGGTGCTGGATTCCAGTTTGGGGCTTAGGGCTCAGGGCTTGCAAGCTATAATCGGGAGGGCTTCATGTTTGGAAACAGCCCTCTCTCGTCTTCCCCGTTCCTTTGCTCAACAGCGCAAGGTCCAAATTCGAAGGCGTCTGGGATTCCGAGTCGCTCTTTGGATTCGGATTTCGACTTGGCATTTGGGATCGAGGGTCAGGGAATGTTTTCCAAGATGAGTCTCTGCGTTTCCTCTGCCTAGAGCCTAGGGATGCAATCCTATGTTTAGAGTCAGAGTCTATGCCCCAGGCCTTCCCTCTCTCAGAAACCTCCTTAGATTTCTGCGCCGTCCCGAGGTTTCGGGATGCTCACCGAAACCAATTTAAAAGCCCCAAAGCCTGAGTCTTAACCCCAACGAAGCTGGCCAGGGAGTCCCAGGCACAGAAGTTGCAGGAACGCCCTTCCACGCAACCGGAAGGCTTCCAAAAGAATGGGCATGGAGTGCCTTTGCTTTGAGTCCGTTTTTGGAGGGCTCTAGGCTTAAGCTTCGGGGTCGGGAGGTCTATGGCCCGTAGAGACTTCAGGCTACCCGAACCCACAGATCCTGGCTGTTTTGGCACAGGTCCCAAGCAAAGTAACATTGCTACCCCAATACATCCGAAAGATCATGTAGGGGCCTTACTAGAATAAGGAACGCTAAGGAATGCTGCTGGCAACTATGCAGGCTACTATAGTAGCCCCCATTCAAGGATGGTTGTAACACCTACAACGAGCCCTGCTCAGGGTTCCTACGTAGTTACGTAAGTATCGCTCAAGCTGGTATCTTGGACTTGGAAGGCCGTCAGCAAAGCTGATTCCAGCTGTCTCTCACACTGCAGTTACTAGGCAAGTTATGCCTCCACCAGGGTGCGGCTAGTGTAGTTGGAGGTTTGGGACCCAGGGTTGAAGGATTTGTTGTCGTCATCGTCACCATCAACATCACCACCATCATCGGCGTCGTCGTGGCGGTCGCCACCAGTATTGCGAACAACATGATCACAGTTACCATGACCATCACCGTCGCCATCGTCAACAGCAACCGTCATTATCAGTCATCACCACCACTAGCATATGAAATATCATCCTGAGTACCACACACACCTTCTTCCAGGACCTGCAACAGCAGCAAGAAGAAGAACAATGTGAACAGCGAGAACAAGACAAGAGAAGCTGCAGCAGCAACAACCTCAACAGGAATACCAACACGGAAACCTAAGCTAAGAATGCTAAACTCAAAGCTCCCAAGGCCCCTCTCAGAACATGAAGTGCTGTCCAGGCTGCAAGGCTCTCCTCCTGGGATTTCAGCAATTCAAGCTTTTGGGTTTCAGAGTCTGCGGCTTTCGGACTGGAGTATCAGGGTGTCGGTCCACAGGACTCAAAGTTTAAGACCTCCGAGGGTCGTCAAAGATCTTCGGAGGTGAGGGGCGCGGCGTGTTAAGGGAACTGGGAGCCGTCAGGTTCAGAAGCAAGGGTCGCCCGGAAGCATCCAGCAATGTCGCTACGGCTGATGATATAGATCCGGCATTACCCATAATAAGGAATATACCATAATTCCCATAGTTTAGGGTCCTTAAGGTAATGCAGGATTTATTTATATCATCAACCGTATGGATTCTTAAGTCCGAAACTCCTGAAGTCTTTAAGCCCAGGAACCCTGGAGTACTGAAGCCAAGCTCTCAAATTCGGAAGCCCACGAAACAGACCTTCCAAACCTTGAACAAAGAAACTGAACCCCAATCAACCCGACACCCTAAAACGCTGAAGACCTCTGACACGCCTGACACCGTGCCGAAAGGAGCGAAATCCCAAAACCCAACAAAACCTCAGTCGACACCACTAAACTTGCTTTCCCCCAACCCCTTTAAGGGTTTGTGCCAGGGGTTCAGTGCAGGTTTCAAGATGTTTCAAGCTTGAGGGTGAGGATGCCGAACACCCTAACAGTTTCTAGCCTCGCCGGCCTCAGCAAAAACACTTTGAAAACTGCGAGCCCTAATCCCCCCAACATCAAGAACTGAGCAAGTCCATTGCCCGTTCTCTCCAGGAAGAGCCCGCAAGTAGCCCTTGCTTGCTGTACCCGGGTACCCCCCGAACCCAAAACCCTATAGCGTAGAAGCCTTAATAATTAGAATACGGTTTTGGGGCCCATTATACTACAATTTTGATCAGGAGCCCCCAAAATAGTATTGGTAATCATTTAGGCCCCTATACTAAGCCTTCAGCCGCGTTGCTTAAATGGCGCTGGGAGCCCACCGAAGGTGCCGGAAGCAGAGCCGCCGGGTTGGGCGCCGGCGCCGGGTTCGCGCGGCGCACTGGTTGCCTGAGGACAGGGCGTTACACACACACACACATATATAATATAATATAAT